TGTTTTGAAAGAGCCAACTTTCTCACTGGAGTAACATGCAATTCCTATAAGGAATCAAGTGCAATGCTTTTCTCAAGGGCCTTTTGAGTGGATTATTTATTGCTGTTTCCTGTTCAAGTTTTTATGGGCAGGTCAAGTGCCAGAGTGCTGCTCTGCTCTGTCTGCCAAGAATGATAAAAGCTGGACTCCAGTGTGACAACAGGACCATATCTAATTATTAAAGCAAGCAGTGCATGGATTGCAGAGGGGTCTCCCCACTCACTCCTGATTTTACTAATTTAACAGACAAAATCTCCATTGAACAGTAATCAGTAGGACCAACAGCGATGCTTATTTGTACTGATTTTTTTTTAAAATTTCATTTTTCAGATTTTCTTTTTCCTTTCTTTTTAAAAAGGTAAATAAATACAAAAGAATGTATTCTGTCTTCCAATTTCATCACATAGTGGCAATGGGGACTAAAGACCTCTTTCACAGCCATGAGCGAGTCGCAGTCATGCTGCTCCACTTGAATCCCCCATGCTGTGCTGTCAGTGACCTTAGTGGCGACCTGAAGTAATGGTTATACTTCTTTTTTTTTTTGTCCTTAGGAGTAACAATTCAGCCTCTGTATTCCAGGCATTAGTTCTGTGCTTCCAGTACTGAACAGAGACCGATCATTATACCAGTGAGCATTGTTACATCTTCTTACAGCCAGAGTTTCAATGCAAGTTCATTTGAAGACAGACACAACATGTACAACCCATGATTTACTTAAGGTGTCAATGGTAGGGGTAAATTTATTTACCTTCAGCACAGCAGTAAAGTGGATCTCTTGCTTCCCATTGTAATCAGTTCCACAACTGGGAGACTTTTGAAGACATTCACTTATTAAATCAGAGCTTTTTTGGAAGAACACCAACTACTCCAGACAAGATTCCCATACTGTATAATGAAAATTGTCATACACATTTACATTTGCAATGAATAAAAAAAAAAAAAACCCAAAACAAAACAAAAAAAACCAAAACAAGTGCAAATAAAACAGAAGCCATGGAAAACTTAAAAATACTTCAGCATCTCAAAGTTTTTCTAATATTGTCATCTCTTTCCACATCTGGATTTTCCATTAATTTTGTGCTTCTTTTGGAATCTCAGAAGAAAAGTAAGCTAAAATTGTGTATGTATATGGTTTAAAACATCTAATCCTTCATGTTGGATGAAAGCAAGCTGAGCCTCTGCAGATGTTAATGAAGATTTAACTGGGAGGCAGGTGCATATAAATAAAAAGCATATGGAATGGGGCAGCAGTAAACACAATAACAGCTCAATGCAGATCTGGTCACAATAGCATTTAATCTTTTTTACACTCATACTCATTACACACCCAAAGAAATGAACTCAACCATTCAAGATTTAATACACATAATTTATATTTGTTGATCAAACCATGATCTAAAAATAGTGATAAAGAATATATTCTTTTTATCAAAATGGTGCCATTTATGTATAACTTTTTGGTTATTAAAAATGTGATGTACTAAAACTAAATTTGAAAGCAGGATAGGAAGAGACTACTCTTTCATGAAAGGCTACATTAGCTGACAAACAGAGAAGAAACTTTTTTCAGAAATACTTCAGTGGCTGCTATTAGGACATCAGAGGTAAAAAGTGTGAGTACTTTGTGGATCTGAAATATAAAATGCCATATTCAAAGTTACAGAAAAGGGATCTGCACAGAAAAAAACCAGGATAGCAGCTGAGCCTGTTCCCTTGATGCTCTGTATCATTTTCAATTTATATTTCAAAAGCAAACTAAAAATAATAAGAATGTAACTGTTGTTGCTGCTCTGCAAAGGAATTCAGAAAAGTGAAGTAAGACTGCAATGTATATGTAATAAAAATCAAATATAAATCAGATCTTTGAATTTGAATTGGCAGACAAACAGTGCTGAGTTACTACTTGGCAATAACCACAACAACTAAAATTATGGTAGGTGTTTCCTCAGCAGAGAACATTCCTAAAACACTACCCTGGAAAATAGTAGTTTGCATATTGCAGAAATAAGTGGGTATTTTTTTCCAGAATGAAAAAATATTTTTGTGCTTTATTTCTCTAATATCTTCTTCATTAATAGTATTAACTCTGTGCTTTGACCAGGAAGGAAAATGCATGCTTCATCTTTATTGTCTTTAAAAATTTGAAACTATAAGTTAGAGTGAGTTGTTTTCTAGCTACTGCTATAAAATAAGCAAAAAAATCACACAACCAACTAGAAAAAAAACTTACCCAAGAGTCAAGAAAAGAGGAGAACTTGGCAAGAAGATTAGAAGCTGGCAAAGTTGAACTTGAGATCCTCCCTTTTTTTTCTTATCTGCTAGGTGTTGACAAGATGTGCATGATGCCAGCGACCATGGAAAATGTTTTATATATTACAAGAGATGAAGGCCTCCAAATGGCAAAATGGGCTGATGGCTTTGTAGTCAGACAAAAGGCTATGTACTCTGGCATAGCAGAAGGCAGCTAGTTAAGAAAAATAAGGTAAAGAGGACTGGAGTGTTGGTATCCCACTTGATAGAGTACCGTGACCACCAGCACTGCCTTGCTCAGGGCCAGCTGGGCCTGCAGTGAGACAGGAGTGCCACTGTGCATGGCCAGTCTAGAAGGGTGCCATTTATGGGGAAGATGAGTTAAAATCAGGCTGGTGACAGAAAACAGCTACCAGGGGAAGCAGGGGCATTGTGGGATTCTTTTCTGGGAGGCCTCTGCAGGACCACAGCTTGCTTAAAATCAACAGAATAAATACTGGCAGTACCTGAGAGCACTTTGTATTCCTGTACTGAGAGTAAACACCAGGCAGAGACAGACAAGAACTAAAAAGCAACTGGGCTAAACACCTTAAAGATGTCTCAGGTAGAACTCTCCATAAAGCCCAAGTAGCCCAAAGGCCACTGCCTTATCTACTGAAAACGTCTCTTCTGTTAATGTTGCACTTAAACAAAATAAGTAAATAAAGCCTACCATGTACTTCTGCTACAGAATTACTTTTTTAAACAGTTGATTAGTCAAGATAAACCTGAGATTCAAGCACCGAGACAGTTTTCATCTCAGAAGAAGTAGTTTGGTCTTAAAGGGCCAAACATCCTTGAGTTTAAGAGAACTACTGCTCTTCTTTACCCAATTACCGTATTTAATGATCAGTATAGCAATGAACTTATCTCAGAATTTATGGGAAAATAAGTATGTTTTCACCACCATGGTAGGCAGACTTCTTAAATGGTAAAAATCACTATGAGGAAATACACCCCCTTTATGGTAAGAAAACCTAAATCCCTAAAATTTAGGGTGACCTTGTAATTTGTACACTGTGCTTGCCTGCTATGATAAATTATAGAGCAGATAATGTGAGACAGCATTGCTCAATTTCATTTGCTGCCATCTTGGTCCAGAAATGTTTGATTTCAAAATATCCTTGTTTCCAATTCAAAGATGAAACATCTATGTGGACACAAAATAATTTCTAAAATTATTTTGAAGTGATAAAACATGATATTTGATTTTATTTGTCACAATAAATAGATCAAAAAAGACCAACTGAGCTACCTAATATGTCTCCCTGACCTTTTCGGTTCATTCCCTATATGCATTCAAAGTGATTTTTCCAGTCTAGTAAATAATGTCACCAGCAATATGAACTTTCACCACTTCTCTTGGAAAGTATGGCATGGTCTGATAAAACCTTTAATGGCAAGATAATTTATAGCAGACATCAGGAAAAGTAGATTTTATCTCAGAGTCATCTTATTGCACCTCACCCACAGGTATTTATCTTCCTCCATAACACTTTCTATACTCAGAGATAGTGAGCATCATCTTGTCATGTTTAGGTAACCAAACTCCATTTTGGGGCCTGGATAAAAATCCATGTGGCTTGTAGTGGCTCCTACAGAAAGTGGAGAAAGCCATTCTGTCTAAGGGGCAGCAAACAACAGGCTGCTCCTGCTCTTCTGGAACACAGGTGCTGAAGTGTCTTTGAACAGTGGTGACATGAGTGTGCCTGGAGTGGATGCCCACTGAAGGCTGGATTGCAAGAGTTGATCCCTACACACATTCAGAGAAGCAGAACCTAGGTTTTACAAAAGGGTTTGTGTGTGAAACCTGCAAATTGCTGATGTGCCACTAACCAGTGTGCCAGTGAGTACATGGAGCCTGACTGGCACAGTTTTTTAAGCACAAGAAGACATTAAATACAACATGGGTAACTCCTTTTGTGTAGTGCATGCATAACCACGTGTGTAGGTATATTTCAGATGTTAATGCAACACAAACCTGAAAACAGAAACACATATTGCAATGCCAGCCAGCAGTGAACTGTGCAAAATAAGTGAAGTGAAGCAGTTCTGTGATGTGCCTGTGCACATGGCCACAGAGACTTTGTGGTTCTGCATTATAGAACCTGCCAAAAAATCTACCCCAATCAGGAAACTGTGTTCCAGAGTCTAGAAGACGATTTAGTATTTTAAAATACAAACTGTGTTTCCCAGCTCTTTCCAGTCACCAAGACAGTTTAGGCAGTTCTTGTTCCCCTAGTAGCTCAATGCACTGGGTGGGTATGTTTATTTGGATGGCTATGCTGCGAAACCAATCAAGTAATTGGAGTGGGTGAAAAAGAAAATCCAAAAAGATCTTTTTTCCTCTGCTTCATAGGTTACTTTTTCAGCCAGATCTGTTCTTTTGCTAAAGCCAGGAGACAGCAGCTACAATGAAAAAGCAGAGATGAGTTGCCAAAGCAAAGGCTGCTTAAGTGCTGCTGCTGTGTGTGTGTATCACAGTTGAAGATAAAAATATATGTATGCTGATATATATAATATATCTGTGTAGGTATGTGTGATATGCATATAAATATGTGTATATATATATATATATATTTATGTACAAATTTATACACAGTATAAAAAATTAAAATTATTCTAAACCAATTTCTCAGGTCCCCTAGTCTTAACATTTGCACTGTAACAGACATTTACCTCAATAGCAGCATTAGCTCTTCAGGCTCATCACCCCTTCCCACTGTTTTTCCTTATTCCCAATCATCACATTTTTTGAAGAAACTCGATATGTTTGCCATCAAACTTTACAAAGTTGTTGACGAAGTCTGGAGAGGAAACCAAAATAATTATACAGTGCTTTATCTGCATATTAAAAAGGTAAAACAAACAAACCCCACCCAAACGTTTTGCCTGTGAGAATAAGGAAAGTCTTAGATGGTTTCTATTCAGGTCAGCATGCTTACAAAATATCTGACAATGTCATCCTGACCTCTACTGGAAACCCTCAGCATTTGCAGGATTAAATTGTGGAACATCAGCAAATCCAGAACGAGTAATTTAAAGATGTAACAAGCACTTCCCAGCATCTTTTCTACATTAATTACAAGACCCTACAGGTAATAATAGCAGAGAGCTGCAATGCTACCAGCAAGTAAAGAGGATGTAAAAACAAAGCCCTTTGTAATGTTCCAATAAGCTCACCTCTAGAGATGGGTTATATCTTCCCCAATTATATATAGGGCTTAGCTGTTGCACTCACTTTTAATCTAATCATTTATTTGTATTCATTTTCAAATGTCCACCAAGGTAATGAAAAAGATATTCACAGTAGGTACAAACATTCCTATCATATCATGAGTTCCTAAAGCCCTTAGTGTTTAGATTATTAATCTGAAGTTCAAAGTGGCGTTCAGAAATAGGTGAGAAACTTATCAACTGCTAAAATCTCAGGTATTTACAGAAAGAATGATTAACCCCTTCCAGGTTCGTACCAGAAATCACAAATGCTGCACAATTCCCTAATGAAAAATCCTGAAAGAGGTTAGAAAACTTAGAGCCTGGAAACTGTAATTGAAATGTGTAGTTCTGCATTTCAGTGCAATCACATCATTTGCTAAAACATTAGGAGTGATATCAAACTTCCTGGAATGGTTGCATTTAGGCTCACTACTTTTCTCAACACATAAAAGCAATTTAAGCCTGTGAGAAGCTTGTGAAACTTTTCCAGTATTTCGAGCTATTTTGGTGTTTGCTAAAGCAATTGCTATAGGTGAGATATAGAATTGTTCTACTCTGCTTGTATCAGACACATAGAAAGCCAGGGCTCATCATCCCAGCTGGGGCTGCTCTTGCAAAATCAGTACACACCAGGTGAGGTCTCAGCTGGTGCAACCCATGGCAGCTCCAGGGACCCAGGAGGAGACAGAAATTCAAGGTACATGTAAGTCCTATCAGGAGCAGCTGAGGGAGCTGGGATTGTTCTGCCTGGAGGAGTCATCTCAGGGACCCCTTATAGCTCTCTACAAATACCTGAAAAGCAACTGTAGAGAGATGAGGGTCACTCTCTTCTCCCAGGCAACCAGTGACAGGGAAAGAGGACATGGCCTCAAGTTGCACCAGAGAAGGTTGAGGTTGGACACCAGGAGGAATTTCTTCCAACGGAAAGGACTGCTAGACATTGGAATGGGCTGCCCAGGGAGGTAGGGGAGTCATCCTTAATGGAGGTGTGCAAGAAATGACTGGACATAGCACCTGGTGCCATGGTCTGGTTGACAAGGTGGAGCTCAAAGGTTGAACCAAATGATCCTGGAGATCTTTCCCAACATAAATGATTCTGTGATTCTGTGACTGTGAGGAGCAGCAAAGGGAAGATCCTGTAGTAATGCATACACTGAGCAGCTGAAACCAGTCCCCAGCCACACAGGTGGTGTGTACTCTGCACACCCCCAATCAAAGCCACCTGAAGCCATCTGGACCATGCAACAACACAAAGTCAGGACATAGCACAGCAAATAGGGCTGTTAGAAAAACCAGGGTTTGGCCTGCTGCAGAAACCAAAGCTTTGGCAGAGAGCAAAAACCTTTCTGGTAGGAGCATTTGAACAAGAACAGCACTGAAACCAGCATTATTTTAACAGAATGGAATGACTGGGTGTAACCTGATATTTAAATGGAGCAAGCTCATATCAGTGCATACCCAAATGTTGCATATTGTCCCACAGAAAAATCTGGTACTTTGGAGGCTGAGCTGGGAGTGTGGGGGGGATCTCCTTCCTACCCTTACAACTTATGAAGCATCTCACATGCCAGCTTTCTTCTTACATAACATAAGGTGATAAATCTGCTTGACACAAATCAGTTATGGAAGAACACAAGCTAACTAAATGTATCTTCAAATCAAGGACAGGATTCTCCCTCAGTACTACATCAAAAGTTATATTTGAGCTCTAATAAGAAGAAGCCTTATTTATTGGTGGTTGGGGCATAGGGCCAAGAAATCTTCTGTGTTCCAAATCTGTAGCATACCAAATTCTTTACAGTTTTGAACAAGTCTGTGGCTCCAGTTCTCCATCACATAAATAGAGATTATAGTATTTGGTTACCTCAGTCTCAGAATAATATATATAGTCCTTTTGTTTTGTAGTTAACAAACTCCTACACTACAAGTTCTGCCATTTAAATCTGTAAATTTTCAGATTTCATTGAAAAGAAAGCATGGGGAAAGATGTGAAATAGAAAAATAAAGTGATTTTTACATTAGAAAAACACAACTTCAGGTCTGATAGGTTATATAAAAATATCCATAAGGGAGAGTCACAGAGATCCTTGTTTCGCCAACTGGCTTAGCAATAGGGGAAAACCAAACTCCCCAAATGACAGGAAACAAAGAAAGCTTTTCATTCTTAATTCTTTCTATGTCTGTTGGTTTCATACACAACAGATATTTCTTACAGAAAATTATGCCTTCAGAAACCCACAGAAATCCATGCCCAAGGATATGACTTGCTCCACGTGCCTCTCCCCACCATGCTCCAGAGGGAGTGATTCCTGTGGGAGCCCACTGGGAAACAACAACAAAGCCAAATATTGGCCTTTGAGGGAAGAGCAGGCACACTGTGGCTCTCCATGGAGCCACACATCACTCCAGAGGGCACCATGGACAAGTATTAGTGCTGAGGGCAGGGAATAACCTGGGAGCAGCTCTGTGTGCTGCACCAAAGGCTCCAGGGCAGGCTCCCCATGTGCATCCATGGCCCCAGCACTGCCATTCCTGCCATGCCAGGCAAGAAGAGAGGCTTTCCACTTTCCACCCAATGTTAAATTCAAGGAGACTTAGAAACAAGCACGACTTTCCCAAATGACCTGCATGGTGATGCACTGAGGACAGAGCTGGAGATGGGGATCTGGAAGATCTGGGACACAGGTCCGGTGTGAGCCAGCCACACAAGTTATGCTCAGGCACCAGATCCCAATGGAGTGGATTTAGCAGGTGCTAAATCCATATGACTTTAATAACAAGCACATTTGTAGTGGTGCCTTTCACACTTTGTTACTTGAAGCCAATCCACGAAGTCCCATGATTGACACTCTGGTATCTTCATAAAAGAGAGGGACCACCTCCCCTTTTGAATAATTTCAAAAATATACACACAATAAAATTTCACTGCAGAAAAGAGGAGAAAGGGAGGAAAAAACCTTTCAAGTCTCAGACCAATTTTGCACTATTTCTTGAACCGAAACAGTTTCTCCCCTGAAAATTTACAAATCCAGTGGAAATGTTTGATAAGGAGAAAGTGATAAGGAAGAGAAGTGATGGCCAAAGCTCACATTTGTAGATACAAGCTCAGGAGACTGACAGATATTGCTGAAACAGTCTCGATTTATAAACATGATGCAGCCAACTCACTGCATGTGGAGATTGTGGAGAAAAGTCTGAAGGACAGGTATTCCACAGGAGCAAAGAACAAAAGAGTGTACATACAACTGAAGAGAAGATTATTAGGAAGTAATGCCATTCTCTGACTACACACAACACTAATTATGATACTGGCTACTAATTATGATATTGGCATGAAAGTTATTCCCACTATTGTGTCAAAAATGCATATTTAATGTGAAATACATTAATGCAAAGACTTTGGAGACCTAACAAACATTTCAAAGTCATGTCTTTTATTTCCAAGGCTAGGGTTATTTAAGGGTTTTGTTTGTTTTTTTTAACAGTAAGATCAGGGCAAGGTACAAATAAAGGTTCTAGGCCAGGATAGCTTAATGAGATAGTACTATTTATACTTTAAATACAAAAAACAAACAACTTTATAAAAGAGCAGTAGATAATATTTAAATGGGAAAAGTTTCTTTCAAGTTAAATCAGTAAGATCCAAAGCTGGAAGCCAAGCCACAATTCCTCATGCACCAGTTGCTTAAATAAGATGGGGGTTATTTCCTAGAATAGTCCTCTACCAGTAGGACTCCCAAACTTAAAAAATATTTTCCAAAAACCCACTGATCATGCCATAGATTTAAATTACATGGAAAACAAAGGGTACATAGAGATGCCTTGAACTACACACTGAAACTCAGTGAGGTTTTTCCCCACCTCTGCCAAAGATTTCTTGTTACCTTTTTAAAATCAAGAAGAAGCAGATTTCCCAATACCCAAAACTCAAACTCCTCAGCCAGCATCTTCATTTTTTTTCAGTAATTATGTGATAATTGAAATACAGAGAAGATATATATATAAGCAGCCTACTGCTATGGGGAAACTTAAGTATGAGTGTTCAGAATCTGAAATTGTAAAATTTTAATCATCTAAACTCCTTGTGTTGAGGCCATGAAAATCTCCTTCGTGTGTGGTTTTTTTTTTTTTTTCTGAGTTTCATTCTACTCTCTCTGCAAAATAATACTACTTTTTTTTCATCTCAGAGTCTTGTGTAATGAGACTATAAAAACATCAAGTTTTGCCTCTTTCCACATAAAGTGAGTCAGCAGAACCATAATTGTGAGTGGAGTTTTCAAGCACAACTACAACAAAAATAACACTCAAGTCCTTTCTGTTTATTAATTGTTCTTATGGGTCTCTAGGAATGAAGGAATTAATATAAGGCATGTAGTAAACCAGAATGTTTTGACAGTGGTCACTGATAAATTTCCATCTAAGCACAAAAGATGAATAATTTGTAACTGGCTACAGAATATATCTTTTAGACAATATGTCTATACATGGAACTGCCTTGCAGAGGGGACAAAAGGCTTTCTAAATATAGCTGAACTTGGATGTAGATGACAGGACAGAGCCTATGATAAGCTGTAAGAGCATTCAAGGTAAGCACAAAATGGTCCTAAGAGCAAATCTGTGGGCATCACAACACTGTCAGTGCTAAAATTGTTTCAAGTGGACAGTCTTGCCTATTATTTCTACATAATGCTATTACACACATAACAGCCACCCTTTCCTGATGTATATTATATTTAAACATGTGCTACTGTATTTGCAGCATCTGCTTCCTCCTCAGGAGGAATTAGGATAGGTAGCTTCTAATGAAATTGACTAAAGGAAAATTATCCAACTTTTCTAATTTTTCCATAAAAATAATAAATAAAAAGAAAATCATATGCAAAATCATACTTGTACATAACACCAAGTTAAACAACTGTGGAAAAAACAAAACAAACAAGCAAAAAACTAACAAAAAAGACCCAAAACCAGCTGCACCATTGCTAGATTCTCTATTCCTTTTTTTCCTGTTGAGTCAGCATCTCCCCTCACAACTTCCCACATAAAAGCTGTAGGATCATTTTTGCTGCATCATTATTCTTCTTCCTCTTGCTCTCCTACAACAAGGATCTCAAGGAAATATCAATCAAGATACCACCTTTCAAAATATATTTTCATGCCTGAATTTGCGTGTACTGTAATTACAGAAGTAGAGACCTGCCAAAAATGAATCCCCAATAAGTACACATAAATCCAAGTAGGGAAACCATCATCTTAAACTGCAATCCAGCTCTGGAAGAAAGCAATCTCTCCCAAGCCTTTTTGAACACTCAGGTGCGTGGGATTTTTTTTTTTTCAGACCATTCTGATCATCTTTCAGAAGTTCAGCATGCTTTGGCTCACAAGTGTTATCAAGTGGGACCTTAAGGCATTTTCAATGGGGTTGAAAGTACATGGGAAGCAAACAGATCAGAGAGCACTGTACAGAGAATGTTAAGGATAAATTGCATTCATGTCACAAAGCATTTTCACTTTTTCAAGGAATCCGAGCTGCAGGCATTTTGCTGTCACTAAAATAAAAGATTTTTTCCTGAACATCACATTTGAAGAACAGGATGTTAAAAAAGCACATTACAAAACAGCATCAGCAGCCACTACAATTTTTTTCAAATCTGAGGGTGAGGGGCAATAATATCTATTACAGATCACATAAACCATATGAAAAAAAAAACTCACAAAAAATCCATACAAAGAACCCTCTTTAAATTGTGTGAAGCTGCAGAAACAAGGGTAGGTTTGGTGAATTAAAAGTTGAGTTTTACCACTGTGCAGTTTGTGCTGGTCCCTCCTTTCCTACTTGCCCTTTCAGTTTCTGGACAACTGAGCAAGCTCATTTTATTTACAGTCTAAATTGTCCTCCTACTGAGAAGGACAATATTGCACTTCTCAGCAGAGCAAGATCAGTATATTATTTATAGTCCAATTTTAATTATTTAATTTTTCATAAACCACTGAGAAAAACACACTAACCAAAAATACAAGCAACTTAATTGTCCCAATTTCTCCTTGTGCACATTTGGGAGGGAAATTTCCTGGGGTCTACTGCCTGAGGAATACAAAAGTTAATGCTACTCCCCCAAAAGAAGAGCATGTGTGGAGGCTATCTGAAAAGTATGATGTTATATCACTATGATACACAGACTATGAAACTCAATGGTCTTTGAACTAGTAAAAACTAAAATTCACTTCATCCAGGTATCTCTAAAACTCATGCACCTACTACTTAAACAGACAATAATTTTTTGTTTCAAAGGCAGAATTATGCAATCTTGTGGAGAGCCACCTTTTATGTAACTAAATCAAATTCTCAATCAATTGTCCACAAAAATAAATTAAGACCCCTTTTCCAAACTCTAGAAGAAGGATATTCATTTTCTTCTGTTCTATTTTTATGAGACGACACAGTGTCTTACTGTTTAGAAAAGAGGAGTAATACTAACCCTGTTTTACATATAATACATAGGCTTCAAAACAAATCTATTGAAGTTTCAACCAAAACGTTTGTCTCAATCTTTATGAAATAGAAATTTCAAAAAAATATTAGCTAAATACTGCTAAACAATATTTAAGAGAGCAAGCAGAGAAGCTTCCAGTAAATGATGCAAGCATCAAACAATTGACAAGTTTTTTTACATTTAAACCAGAATAACCTTCTCTTGCTTCTATGTCTCTGCTTCAGTTTAGTTTTAAAACTAAATGGATTATTTTAAATGACACTAAAACCCAACTGATTTATGAAACACTGTATAAACAACATCATCTCGAACAGGCCAGCACTAAAACATCTCATGGTGACTGGTTCCTGTCATTTACATTTTCTCCTTTGAGGGGAACAAAGATTTAGAGGGCTTCATTTGAGTGCTAACTTTGAATACAGAGACAAAGTGGCTTAAGTGCCTTGTCCTGAATGGATGAAAATTGAAACCCTTTCAACACAGCAAAGGCTTGCAGTACATACAACATTTACAATTACTAATGACCAATTATCTGCTAATTAAACATAAGTGGCATTGCACGCTAACCAATGGCTGCATTGGAGTACCACAACATTTCTTTTATTCTAAATGGTAATTACTGCAAAGATAAATGTAAGGCTGAGGAGGCAAAATTTGAATATTGGTGTGTAACTACTTACAGCTGAGTAACAGGAAGTGCTGAGACTGAAGGAAAAAACCCATCTCTCCAATCTTATGTCTCACCTGGAAATTAGATATTTTAATCAGAATTTCAAGAAAGTATTTATAGGCACTGGGGATCCAAAGCTGAAAAAGGAAAATTATGTCCAAAATTTTTCCCGAGTTTTTTTCTTGTGGCATGAAAATTTCTGGCTAATTTGTGCTTTTGATAGCTCATCTCTTATCTCTTGCTTTTTCCTTCTAATAAACTTGGAAATTTCCATGAAATTTATACTAAAACCAAGTTGCACCAGAGAGGGTGCAATAGATAGATTATACAGTTATTACAGAACTTTATAGGTTCTATAGTAAAGAGAAAGGTGGATTTAAAAATTCAAGGAAAGCTGTCAGATGCCTTGGCAAAGTTTTGCTGTGAAATTTGACATATATCTCAAAATATTTTGTCTTTGCAAGAAGTCAGCATTTCTCTATCCTAAAAAAGTACACTAAATGCAGGCAGTAGGAAGAGGGCTCAGGCACCTGTGCAGCCTTCCTTCCATTCTACATGATAGCACAGCACAGAAATGTTGTGCTCATGAAGGGATGGAATGGCAGGAGATGCCATCCAATCAGGAAGTCTGGACGCAGGAGGCAAAATTTGGCATAAGGAAGAAGAGCGAATAAACTTTTTTATTCTTGCATAAAAATGGGAGTCCTTGATTAGAGAATGCCAAGAGAAATAATTATTCTAATCATTCTCCTGAATGCTTCACATTGTAGTGAAGAAATAAATAAACATTTCTCTCATTTCAAAGATAACTTCCCCCCCCCTTGGTATAAAATTCCAAACCTTGATATAATATCCTGATCTTTCTCTCAAAACAAGAGAGTTATTCTCAGAAGAAGAACGTTCTTCCTAAAGTTTTGGAGCTATTCATCTGTCTGAACTCTTCTCTTACCTAGCATCCCTCATATGAATTGTGAAAAGATCTCTCAGCCATATGCACAACTTCATATTTTGATGGAGCTTTGAATTCCTAATTTCTTCTACACAAGCGCAAATCACTTTAAAAATAAGCATTTTTGGCCAAAATCACATCAAAGCACAACATACTCAGCAGTTTCTCTCATAAGTGATGGAAAAATTTATAAGAAAAGGTAGAGGGAGGGAGAAATTAATTAAAATAAAATCAGATAAAAGAAAGACATGAAAAAAAGCATAAGCAAAGGGAAGCCAAAGTTTTCTAGGGGCACAGGAACAGTAAGTGTGTATGTGTGTCTGTGTGAGTGCAAATAGCAGAAACTGTATAGGCAAAGAGTAATGTAAAAGAATAAGGAGTCAGTTTGTTTTGCTTGCAAAATATACACTGGTTTCTTTCCAGAAATGATACTTCAGACTAATCAGTAACTCTGAGTTTTACATGCTGCTTGTTTGGGGTTTTTTTTTTTTTTTATTTTCTCAGAGCACAAAAACAGATAAAATGCCAAAGAAGTTCTGATTCAAGTTGATATCCCAAGACCTTGTTGGTAGTCAGTACAAAGAATTCCTCTGTAGCATGGAAAAAGAAATATTTCTGCCTTTTTGTACCAAATCTGTTTTATGTCATGCTGTAGTTTAACTATTAACAGGACTCTGAGACGATTAATGCAACAGTAAGTCTCCTAACTCAGAAAATACTCTATATTTTATACTGGGTTGCAACAAAACCATCTTCTGAAACAGATACTGACAGAGACTAATAGTAGATGCTGTAACTTAATCTCAGAACCCCAATGATGTCAAACCTCTTGAGCATCATATACAGTTTATGGTAGGGTATTATCACAATTCTTCAATGGAATTACAGTTTTGTAACTAATCTCTCCCTATCAGTTACACTGCACAGAAACTGTGAAGTCCAAATACAAAGAGGCCAGAGGTGTGAATGATTGCACTTGAGTCTTTCCCCCAAACCATATTTCTAAGCCCCAGAGTGATAAATGGCACAGCAGTTATAAATGGGCCATAGGGTCAGTGGAACTAAAAGCTGAGAGTTCAAAGAAAAGTCACAATTCTTCAGAGTTCAGCAAAAGGCCAGAGACTGATGCTGCAATGCTCAATGATGAATGGCCAGGGTTGTTATGCTCCAATTAGAGAAGATAGGAGATTGGCAAACAACCATGGCAATGGGAACACTACAGCCTCAGACCATCCATATCACCTTGCAGGTCTCTAAGTGTTATGGCTTTCCTGTTTTAGTCTAAAATTCTTCATTGACAGAAGCTTAAAAGTCACAAATAAACCAGCCACAAGACAGAAATTAATTACACAAACTTAGCATAAATTGATCACATCTACACAAGTTCACAAAACAACTCTGAAGTGGGAGGAGAGGGACTTTGTCATGAACAAGAATTATCACAGGAGACTGAAGGCCAAATCTACTGACAATTTAGGTACCTAAAGGGAGAAAAAAAAATCAGGAACTAGAATTGAGGCATACATGAGTTCAAAAGGTTGATTCAGGAATAAACCTGAACAGACACCTGAATCTCTACCTGTGCCTCTCAGAGACGTGGAGGCCAACAACATCCTTCTTTTGTGGAAAAGGAATCATATTTAAACCATTTTCTTAGGCACTGAAACTACTGGATTCCAGACACATGCACATTTTACAATACACTCTTACAATCCAAGTGAACATCCTTCCCACCAGGAGTGTTTTCCATCCTGCACTAGTGTGCAGTTGGGAGATGAAAACTGGTGGATCTGTAAGGATTGCTGGCAGGAAGACCTGGCCTTTCGCCATTCCTGTGCAGGAAGGAAAGATAATTAAAGTCATCTAAACTCCAATATTACTTCTACTTTTTAGACAACAGATTAATGTATAAATAGTCACCATTGAAGTGAGGCCTGGAACAAATCTCCTTCCTGCCAGATAAGATTCAGATTCCAGATAGGCTAGGTTGGAAAAATCTCCAGGCATCTCTAAAAAAGATTTCCTAAAGAGACTTTCCAAGTGTTTGTTCATTGCTGAAAGCACCAGAATCCCAGAATATTCTTACCATGATCTTTCATGGTTGAATTTTAAGGACCATGATCTAAAACTGGATCACAAAAGTGATCACGCAGTGATATACAGAAAGACTTGCTATTATACATTTATGAAATCATCAATATACAGAAGGATTTGCATTAGGAATTAAATTACATGCATTCTCCACATCCTGTTCTCCAAAAAAAAAAAAAAACCAAATTAATCTTTGCTTATTACTTTTCATTACATCTCTGCAATAACAACAACAACAAATAGTTTTATATTGAATATTTTTACATAAAATCTCAAACAGTAATGAACAAAAAATAGATACCTATTTGTCAGAAGATTCTTAGAGACAGCACATGAGGAAATTTTGCATGAAACAGCTATTCAGGCTGCCTGAAAGTACTCTCCAGAGATGTGTATCAGTGCCTACAATGAAATCACATAAACAGAATAATTGGTCATCCTCACTTTTGTATTATTGTCTTACACAATGGATTAAATGTCCTACTAATGCTAAATCAATTCACCTATAAATGAATAATCAGGCCCTATGATGTATAAGAATTTACCCACCTTTAAACGCTAGAGTTGCAACAGGAATAGGAAACACTGTTCACAATATCCAGAACACTTCTTAACATTTTTTTAAATATGTCTCTTTGATTTCCCCTATCAAATCACTCGTTACCATGGGACTTCACCCTTGTTTTCAGAACTTAACTAAAATTAGTACAAATGTTCTTAAGTAAAACATTCATAAGGGAGGAAATGGGAAAATTAATTCCCCATCTCATTTGTATATACAGACTGAACAGACTTTCTTTATGTGCTCATATAACATTTGCTAAATGAGAGTTGACTCCCTCACCACAAATACTCAATGTGCAGCTATTTGGTTTTTCACTGCAGAGTCATTACCCCGGTTCATAAAGTTCCTGAACCACAAATTGTTGAAGGTTAGGAAAATATTCCTGTGAAGTTTTACTGTTTGCTGATAAGTTACACCTTCTTCCTTCAGCAGCCAGTGCTGGTAACTGCCAGGGATGGAGCACTGGGCTCTGGGCTCCCAGGAACCTTGGACTGGTTATAGCCCTGCAATCTCACACACACTGCACGTGCAGTTAACACTGCTGCCTTTACTTGCATATGTCAGAAAACTGCATTTACTGCACCAAGTCTTTTTTTCAATTTGTTCTGGAATACATGCTTACCTGAGTGCAAGAAATTTGTCTTCGTCTAACTTTTGACATTTAATAATATTTAGAGATAATTTTCAAAATAGGCCTTCCTCAGAAAGATAGAAAGCCCAACAGATCTATAAATTCTCTGCAACTTAAAGTGCAATAATATAATTTAATTTTATTGAAATCACTGAAGCAGGCCTGAACACACAGCATGGGCAAATCTTGATCAGTGTGACTTCATAGTTTGGGTGGGAAGGGACCTGAAAGCTCATCTTGTTCCAAAACCCCTGCTAGGGAGAGGGAACACCTGTCACTAGACCAGAACCCCAGGCTCAGAGACCCATCCAACCTGGCCTTGAACACTTCCAGGGATGGGACATCCACAAGTCCCCTGGACAACCTGTTCCAGTGCCTCACACAGCAAAGAATTATTTCCTAATATCTGGTCTAAACCTACTTTCTATCAGTTTAAAGCCATTCCCCCTTTGTGCAGTCACTACATATCCTTGTAAATAGTACTCATGCATTGTGTAGGCTCCATTAGGCAACACAAGTCTGAAATTAGATCACCTCAGAGCCTTCCCAGGTTGAACAATCCCAATTCACTCAGCATTTCTGCAGAGGAGAGGTGCTGCATTCCTCTGACCGACTTGGTGCCCTTGACAGCAGTAGCACAGGCAGGGCAGACAAGGAGGCATGGAGCTGGTGGCAGCTGTTTGATTGGAGGCCTGGAGTGGACAGCGAGGGAATAAAGCCAGGAGGATGCAAAGAGGAGAGAGATGCAACGAAGAGAACAACGCTAAAGTAACATGGATGTGTTGTTACATATTGATCTCTAGGAAGACAGTGGTTCCCACTTACTGAAATAAGAATCAGTTCACAGAAGTCCACTAACATGCAGTCATCCTCTACTTGGCCAGCCAATTTGTGGTTCACTTAGTGGGGACGACCTTTATTTTAGGCAGGAATTTTTACTTCACTGTATGTGGGGTAATATTTAATTTATCTATTCTTCTTTGCCTTCTTTAGCACTTCCTTCCTTTTCCAGTTCCCTCCTTACCTCCATACCTTTGAGGGCAAAGCTGGGATCTCACAGACAGCCTAACACCCTCCACAACCCTGACTCACTCCTAGCAGGTGATGGCAGCAATGCCAGGCAGTTAGCAGGCATTCAGCAAGAGCAAGGAGGGAGGTAAGAGAAGGTCGTGTGGTCACCTGCCCTTTTCACCCTGTCAGCAATACCCATGTGGTGTGCTTACAGACTGCCCTACAGACCAACAGAGAAATCCTGTGGCAGATCAACAGTTGAACAACAAGAGTCTCATCAGGACAGAAATCAAGGAGTTGCGAATATTTCTATTCACTCATAATTATGGCCCCAGATTCAGAACACCCTGGTTCTCAGGGCTCATCTGGCCTACTAAGATAGAAGAACAGAGACACATCTGATTTCCTAAGAGTGTGATTTTACATGACAGAGAAACATTGTGCTCAAGCTGTTCCAAAAGGGAATTCTTCTCAGTGATTCAGAAGGAGGTTTTGAACTCTGCTCTCCAAGATCCCAAAGCTGTAACCTGATCCCCAGTTATTTTGGAGAAGGTACCTCTGGCTCTGCTGGAGCTATCCCACTTTGTATAAAGAGTGCAAGAAGACTCTGCCTGGATAAATGGTGGCTGGGGAGCCTCTCCATTCATGCAGGCAAGGCAGAAACCTCAACATGAACCTCAGCTTCCTGGTGGGAGATTTCACAATGGTGTTACTTGCTACCTAACAGCCCAACCTTTCTCTCTTCTCCTCTTCCACTCACCCAAAAGGTGGTCAGGAATATTTCTTATAAATCAGATCAGGTTTCTTTAACTAAAAAAATTCCCATCAGCTCCACTTGTACAAGGCAGAGCTGTGCAGGCATCCTGACAATTCCTACCTGGAAGCAGGCTGCTGAAATGAAAGCTAGAATTCAGCTTACAGAGGGTCTGGCTTCTCTCTGACAATTTCAACCTCTGAGACAAAATGAGTAATTTTGAGAGCAAAGATCAAACTCACTTCAAAGTCTGGACATCAGAAACTGGCAATTGTTGCAAGGCAAACACTGAACTTTGAAGTCCTTCTCTTTCATTTAGCACAGCAAAAAGTCCTTGCCACTCACACTTAAACCACAGTGACTTCCCTCCAAAGTGCACATTGCACTGAAGCTCTCCTGCAAAGGACTCTGAACTCGTATCTCCCATTTTGAGAACACTGCTTGAAAAAATACAATTTGGCACTTCAAAAGAGACATTTGACTTCTCCTTGTCTCAAATGATTGCCCCTTATAGCCCTTGAGCAATTGCAGCTTTGGGAGCATTTCAAAGATAAATGCTCTAGCATTTGGTATCAGAGAAAGTAGTTTGAGCTACTGTAATCCCCATTATCATATGCTTTAAAAATGTACTATTGCTTAGTGAGACACAGCTTTTCTCAGTCCTATTTTTAAGCTGTGGTACCTAACAAGCCTGATTTTTAAGATGAAGAAAAGGTAGTTTAATGTATTTCTTTTCATTAAATCTGAAGAAAATAATAGCTGCATCCATTTGGGGTAGATATAGATAAAAAAAACATCATTAAGTTCCTAAAGCTTGTGTTAAAATGCAATCTGTTATCCTTAAGAAAACAATCATTATCTTCCATCTCTATGAAATATGTGTGCACACTCATACATATGTATGCCAATGCACAAAAACACAGGTTTTTATTTTTTAAATTTAAGTGACAGCATATGAAAACAAACACACTTTGATGTACACACTTATGCTCCAAAATCATTTACCATACTTGAAGGGCCAAAAACCCCAACAACAAGAATAAAATCCCATCCCCAAACTGAAAGTTACCAATATTTCTCTGCATTTCATTTAAAACACTTCATTATCTAATTGCTTTCTGTTATATTCTCAAATATGCTCCATCTGACTTAAAACCTTACAGCAAGGTTACCAGGAGGAACAGAATCAGGTCAGCACATTAAACTAGATTTTTCTTTTACAACAGCTTCCAGGCAAATCTTCAGATTTTCCATGTTATTTACAAGGACATTAAGAAGGTCTTGTGCTTTCTACCTCAGTGATTTATTCTTCCCATATGCAGATGTGGTAATTCTTTAAAAGCTAGTTAATTAAAAGTTCTAGCAATAACAGTAGGATCTTGACAGACTAACTTTGATTTACCAACCTTATAAAAAGTCTGTTCTTACCTTTCAGAATCTGACTTTACCAGGGGATGCGCTAAATGAGAATAATAATTCTTAAAATAAATTAGCTAAAAAAGTTAGTGTCTTACACCCCAAGTGGCTGCAAATACAGTAAGTGCTTTCACATAAGGATTTGACAATTTGTTATAAAATATTTATGAAAACTATTTGTAATATCAGGAGAATCAGAAGTTAAGCTATTATTAGAAATGACTTGGTGATAAGACCTGCTCTTAAACAGACACCTACTGCTTTTGTCAAATACAATTTGCATAGCAGCAGTACACTCCCACACAGTTTTGTAAGAGATAAGGGAAAACAAAATCTTCCTTCAGATAAGCTTTTTTTTTAAACTAGTATCTATTTTGTAGACTATGCAGGCTCTCTTCATAACCTTGTATCACAGAACATCTGGAACCACATGTGTTTTCTTGACTTCCTTCATGCTGGATTTGAATATTTTTATTTTAAATGATACACAGTACATGATATACATATGTAACACAATATTACCACTAGAAAAATTGTCAGAAACTATCTCCTGTGTATCCTGCCTCCCCTTTCCAATCTTCTTCCCCACATCCCCTCTGCTGCAAAAGAATGATTCACCAAGATTATTAAATGTCTATTAGATGTAGTTCTGTAGTGTGAACCACGATGCCCCTCTTGCAGAGTTGTAGGTTGGTTGTAAGAAAGTTTTCAATAATTACTGGAGGATTTGTATCATAACTAAATGATAAATGAATCTGGAGTTATCCATTCTCATTCAGTTTATTGATAGAGGCAATAGTGTTACAGCTTTAGATAGTGAATTCACAGGAGAATTAATTGCTTGCAGAAGATTTTAGACAAGAAGAATTCTCCTAGAAAAATACATCTGGGTAATATCAGATTTCCATGAGAAGAAGAGCAAGTGGCAAATGCACCAATGTGTTCTGAAAGATATTTAGGTAGATGCATCTTCTTCAGGAGGTTATTTCCTGAGAGTGTGATATTTCTGAATTTATATATTCCATCAGGCCCAGCAAAAATTTCAAACCTTATCTACATTGTAACAGCCTTTGCAATCAAGGAGCATGTTCTATAGCAAAGATGCTAATATTTGTTTCCTTAAATGCAAATTGGAAATCTGCAATTTTTCACATCAGATAATGGAACACCACCAGTCAGTCATACATACAATCAAATTTTAACTATCAGATTTATCACCAGACTGGCAATAACCAGAATACAAGTACTGGGGTCCTGCAATTAATGATGAGATATAAATCCCACCACTCTTGCTGCTACCTAAACGTGCTCAGCAACTTCCATGACTGGATACTAACCACAAAACCAAACTGGGGCAGAGTCTTCCCTAGGCTGCTTTTGTTTAATTTTAGGAAAAATAATATTCTTCAGTTACTTCAAGTTATATAGCTCAACAAAAAAAAAAAAAAAAAAAAAAAAAAAAAAAAAAAAAAAAAATTAACATTCTTCCTACAAAACTTAATAGTACATTTATATCAAAGACACCATTAGCTTGTCTGGAAAATCCCTTAGGAAAAGTCTTACCTTACGTGGAGGAGACAAATTAAACCCAAGTTTGCAGTTCGAGACTTCCTTTTTTCTTCTAAAGATGAATTTATCTCTTTTCAGTTCAGTACCTCTGTGCTCTCTTCTGACCCAATTTTGTCTGTGATATATGCCAGAGTTTCAGAGGAGTCACTTGAGCTCCTGTAAGTAAAGAAATGAAGTAAAAAATGAATGCTCTCAACATTCCTGCTCTGACAGATTGCTTGACAGGCCACTAAAAGCCTTGCAAGGCTATAGGTGAGGTAAAGCCTCAGAGTTGCCATTCTCTTAAACAAAATTGCATTTTGGCTTTCTGCTAATTATGCTGTACTAAAATAACAAAGTTAAAGCTCATGCAGATTAAGCAGGTCTACAATTTGTACAGGCCTGACACAGGCTATTTTATAAGATTCATTCCCAGGGTATTGCATGACCAGGAGACATTAAAATAAAATTTCAGTCTTAGTTTAGACAGGAGAAAGAAGAAAAAAAAAAAAAAAGCTTTCTACTGAGAGGTACCGCAAAGCACAGCTGGCACAGAAGTTTCTCAGTTTCATTACTTTCTGTTCCTCCCCTATCCAAGCACCTTGCTGGGACTGGTTTTTCACTTGTTGATGGAGGGTCAGCAAATTGCATGGAAGACTGAGCACAGGTGCACCTGCTCTTGCAGAAATGGGCAGAGAACAGCCACAGAAGGTGCAGGGAGCTTTCCCATCCCAGCCCTTCTGGGGGGACCCCAAGGTGTGTCAGAGGAGCCACCACAAAAGTCCACATTGCAGGATAAGGCAGGCAACATGGCTCAGACCCCTCAGGTAACAACACTTAAAGGGCTCTACTGGCCCGAGTCAAAAGCTCTTCCAGCCCCATATCCTGTCCCAAATGCTATGCTAGGGGTAATACAGGAAAGCACACCATGATTTTTACTCTACTGTTTGCTCCCAGCTTCCAGCACCCTGCAGCCTTGGGGCTTAGAGAGCCAGCAGGCATTTCTTTCCAGGGCTACAGCAGGGCTAAACCCCTCCTGGATTCATAGGACTCATTTATCTCCACCTCAACAAGGAAACACCCTCACAGAGCAATGAGTTCAGCTGGAGGGAAAAACTGAAGAAACTAGATCAGATAAGCTCATCACTAACACATTTAGGAAGAGCCTTTTTCTGGAAATTGAACCAAAGCATGTGACACCTTATGAAGTAATTGGTGGGGGGGCCAACAGTTAAGCAATTGTGGTTATATGTTATACAATCTTAAGCCTTAAGATGATGTAATAAAACATTTTTAAATGTTTGCTCATGGCACAAACTTAACCAAGTTGGGCTATTTCAATGCCATGATCACTGTAAATGCTCCAAAGTAGCTTTAATTTCCCAAAAATCATGCAGGTATATTCTGAAGTCTCAATTTGTTGATCAGACAAATGTTTTGTTATGTAGGATCAAGGAATGCCCAGTTCCTTCTTCTATTAGCAAAAAAATTCCACAAGATACTTTACCTGAATCATATGAGAACAAAAACTGGCTGGTTTTGCTGCTAATGAACACTTGCTTCATATCAGATGAGCAAGAAAATATATTTATCAGAAGAGCAAGATTTCCTTTATTAAAACTGCTTCATTTTTTCTTAGTGTCTCCTCAGTCCTCTGGGGAAAAAAAAAAAAAAAAAAAAAAAAAAACCCCAAAAAAAACCAAAACCAAACCCACAACCCAAAACCACGACAAATCCTTTTTAAGGAATAAGATTATCAGATCTTTGAACTAGTACTAAAACACAGTATTGTAGACATACTAGGAGTACAGTGTTTCCCAAGCCTGTGTAATAAAATTCATCAATGTCTTTAAACAATTGACTGAGGCTCTGAAAAGCCAATGTTTAAAAGTACTATTCAAGCCTGACTTTCCCAAGTGAACAGTTTAAAAAAAATACCAGTATTTAAAATAGTACAGCCAGACTTCTCTGCACTCCATTATTGTTAGCAGATGAGTACATTCACATGAACACCATAAAATAGCACACCCACACTGTTTAGATATTATCAAATCTTGCAGATCTCCATAAGAGGAACAAATTCATGAAAGCATTTGTAGATTACATTCTAGCTTTTAAAGGAAGAACAGAGAGTTTTCATGCATGCTATCGCTTAACTCCTAGAAAACATTTGGATTTTTAAAGGTCTAAGGAAATTTAGTGTTATTCCCCAATGTCAATGATGCTAAGGTGTTTACTGAAGTATTGTCACTTTTGAAAGCTCACTTTAAATTAAAAAGAAAATGTGAAAGGCATAGACATAGATGTAGCAATCATTAGTACTCGTTCTTCACCATTCTTCTCCATCTTTTTCACAGTATTTAAATGTCTAGGTGAAACAAAAGGAATCTGATCATGTAAAAATTTACACTTAAGAAACAGACAGCTGTAAAAACCAAAACAAAATAAAACAAACAAACAAACCCCCCAAAAACCCAAACAAAAAAGCCCACCCAAACAAAACAAAACAAAAAGGTGGGGTATGACTAGGCACCAAAATTATTTTGCAGAAATTAGAGTTAAAAAGCTCATTGTTTTATTCACTTCTAACAGCAAAGTAATAGCATTTATTTTCTAATGAACTTTTCTTACAGAGAGAAATAGAGAACATAACCTTGTATAAGCAATAAGTAACAGTAATCAGAGTACGAGCTATAGAAAACACAGCAGCAATATATCCATAGTTTCATATTGCTGCTGTTACACATTTTCTCAGTTTTGGCACTCCTTTTATAAACATTTTTTACCCTGTGCTTGAATTTTTCTGTCATTTCAAACTTTTCTTCAAAGTGCTAAAAGGATTTTAGAAAAAGCATTGGGACTGCACCATAGAAAGGCAAAAAAAGTCATGTTCTACACATGTGTCTAATGTTGCTCTCTGCCTTCCACAATTATAGAAAGGGTTCCCAAAACTAGTATTCAAAAAGTGCTTGTTTCCTCCACTTCCAAACCAAGCAGAGCACTTAGCTCTGAAGGCTGGAGGAGGGATTTAAAGGAGTACATTCAGCATTGGTTTGTAAAGCAAAATGGTAATAACTTTTGTCAATATCACTATTCTTATTTTAGAAGGAGCACTTGGTGATGCCTCAGGTTTTAGCTTTTATATTTTTCAGACTCTATTCTGCTTTAGTGTGTAAGTTTAGGCTTAATATTAGAGCATTGTAAGCTTTCTTCACAGAATATGTAGACAAAACAATCCCTTCTCTAGCTGGAGACCCATGGACAGATCCAGATCTCAGGCCCAAGAGCATAAACAATGGTGGACTGAAGAGAGAAAACAAAAAGGATGGGACTTCATGTGCTAATGCTGTGATTGGACAATTAGCTCCAATATGGTAATGGACCAAAACTTATAAAAGTGAGAGACCCTGTGACCTGTTGTCCATTTTGTGGCCATTTTGGGTTGTGCTGCTCAAGGTGGATCTATTCGAGGCCTCTTAATAAATCCCTACTCTATTCTTTAGCTCTGTCTAGTCTCTGTTCTAGGTCAGCCTTCACAAGGCATCATTGGCACCAAAACCTATCATGGCTAAAGACTGCTAAGGCCCATCCTCCTCACTCATCAGTCCCTGTAGTCCTGGTGGGGCAATGGGCCTTACTATTAATTGCAATTACTATTACTATCATTGTATCATTGCTACCAGCAATTGTGCAGCACAGTGCTGAAGACTTTTTGCCAGGAAGCATCCCCTGTGTGGAAGCATCTCCTGTGAGCCTCGCTGGTTTCTGCAGCATCATCAGTACCATGCCAGCAACTCTCCATTCAATTCCTCTCACCTTCCTGAGGATCCTGGGATGGGAGTTTTTTATTGTGGGCCTCTTTATCCCACCTGCTCCTAAGAGGAGCCAGCACAGTGGTTTGATTTAATATGAGACTCTCAGCTGGGCAGAGCACTGTGTTAGTAACACCAAGGCTGTGGCTTTGATCCCTGCCCAGGCCATGCACGTAAGAGCTGGACTCGCTGATTAATGGTTGTGCACAAAATTCTGTGCAATCTGAAGCAGGACTGAAAGCACAGAAAAGCAGCTCATTCTGACATGAGTGATGACAGAAAGCCTCTTCCCCTCTTCTTCCTTCAACTAAATAAGGACTAAAAGCTGGCTCCTAGGATGAGTTGCCACTAAATGGTCGTTGGAGCAAGGGTGTTTTGCATTGGTATCCAAGTGGCTGCTGCTGTTTGTGCAAACAGTGATCCATGGTACCATGCAAAAAGCCACACACAAAACACTTCAGACCTCTGGAATCTTGCAGTTTACTTGGAACATCAAGGCTTTAACAAAGAAAAAAAGGTACAAATTAGAAGCTGAAAATGACAGCTTAAGTCCACTTTTATCTTTAGCATTAACCTCCCCAAAAATAGCTTTTTTAAACTTCCATTTAGCACAGAACTGTCTAATAGGTGAACAATTCCCTGTGGTGCACTCGCTCCAATAGTTTTAATATCAGCATAATAAACCTGAATTTTAATTGACTTTGACATTACAGTTACCCTAAAACGAGTCTTATTCTGCTTCCAACTAAATCATAAGTAACATTTGCTTTATAAAGTGATAAAATTATTCAAGACTTGTGATGTGAACATATCAGATACTCATGGTAACTAACATTCTGGAGAGTGTTGGCACCACACAGCACTCTAAAATCTGGACACTTGTATTTGACCTATGATCTCTATAGATTTTTTGAGGTTTTTTATGCCTTTTATATGGTTCATTACTTTTGAAAGAGATTTTTTAAAGTACTAACTTTTCAGAAGTCAAAACAAACAAAAAACCTTTAAGGTTATTTTTAGGCTGTGTGCTTGCAGAGGTTTGAGTCACTTTGAACTAAAATATTGATTATCAGCTTTCCAAGTGGAAATACCAAGTCCTTGCAAACAAATCTGCTAGGGTGCCAGCCTACAGCCATCCAGGACTGTTAAAATGCTAGTCTGAAGGGTTTTGCCTTTTTCTGATCACACAGCATATTCCATTTCCTCCTTTGTGGAGGAAGAATCACAATAAGCACACAAACACATGCATGCATCTATGTCTATTCATACACTCATTTGTGCCAATCCCAGATTACAGACAGCAACTGTTCTGTCTGATCTATAGGAGGAGCAGAAGAACACTGACTTGATAGC